TATATGCGAGAAGCCTGTGTGTAGTAAGCGAGCGCACGCAATGAAAGCTGCAGGATCAATTCTCTTGCTACGGAAGAAAGTAGATTACTAACTTTTATCCTTAAGACATCAATACAGATCAATGAATATAAACGTGGCATACATTACAAATACACAGAAAACGACATAAGGTTAATACTACACACGAAGGCACAATAGAGAATGATCGGATGGAAAGCAGCTCTTGGTGTTGAGGGCGTCGCCCTTGGAAGGTGAGAAGAGGAGATCAGGAAGAGGTCGCGGTCCTCGGCCGCTGCTGCCAGACGTCTCTCCGTCGGCGGCGCCGCTGGTCTCCGCCCTGAAAGAGATGAGTCACTGCTAAAAGAAGGAACTGACTGGAACAAGTGACCGCTAAGCTTACTGTGTGTGTGTCTGACCGGAAATTCATAACTTCACCCCCTTTGGACCCAGAGCGCTCAAACTTCTAGGATATATAGGGGGCCGGAGGTGAACACTGATGACGGGTGGCGGGAAGTGATAACTACTGATAGGAGCTGATAACGGACGTCGAAATGTTGATGTCACCAATTTCGTTACACCGTTCGCGTTGACAGGTGGAGAGTTTGCACTCATGTATGATATGTGGGGTGAGGCGGGACCAAGAAGTTGAGTGAAAATGTGGTAGCAACTGATAAGAACTGATAAGGGGCGTCAAAGTGTGGATACCACCAGTTTCGTTGCGGCCCTTGCGGTTACATTGGAACCTTGGCTCTCACATGTGGTATAGGGGATGGGACGGGAACACGGATAGCGGATGATCAAAAGTGATAACAAGCGATAACGGTTGATAAGGAAGTTAGGATTTTGAGTACTGCTAATTTCGTTGCAGCCTTCGTGGTGACAGTAAATATTAGCTCCTACACGTTGCCTGGAGGTTGGGACCGGGACACCGATTGCGAACAGTATGAACTGATAACAAGGAATGATAAGAGCGTTTGAATGCAGGTCTCTCCAACTTCGTTGCAATTATCACTGGCAAGCGATCAAGGTGGCGAGGGTTGAATGTAGGTGATCTTATTTTCTTATCAGCTTTTCTCGGCTGCAATCACTTATCATACTGCCACAAACCCCAACCATCCTGAGAAGCTTGGGCAGATTAGCTGTCAATTGATATCGATGCTGACGACGACATCGCAAACGAAATGAAATGGATTACTCGTCGCGCATCTAGATAACAGCTTCAGTGGTTGCTAAAATTGAGCTTATCAGCCCTTATCAACTGGTCACTTTTTTCACTCTCAATGTGACCAGAAGTCACATACCTCTCCCTGAGGTGCGCGCTATGAATTTCGCGGCACATACACAGCGAATTATACATAGTAGGAATTCTACAAATTCAGTTGATGTATCATAATTTAGGGAAAAAGACTTCGAAGGGAATCGCTGGACATTTTGGCAAGACAGAGCGCCTGCACACAAACTGAAGATGGGCAAAGCCGTGAATTCTGAAAAAATATATCTGGCGGTTCTAAGAAATTGATTATATTGGTATCCGTGACATTTCTATGTTGCTGCTGAACAACTGAAAAAAGAGTGTGTGACGCGAATAGAGTCATCGTGCATGGATGGGATATACACGGCGCGAAATTCATTCATGTATGATGAAAGTCGGTAACCCTAGCATCTCAGCTATTAGCAAAAAGCTTGAACTTTGTAAATAACAAAGGCCCAAACCTCTCCCTGACGGAGAGCTCGAGCTACCTCTAACGTTATCTTCGTACAGAACGTGCACTTTTCACCATACATAGTAAGGACGTGGAGGTGTCCTCGACGTGGTCCAGTGAGATCATGTTTTCTCTTTTACATGCTTCAACGCGCGGTGACAATCAGCTGATATCCTTATTACTTGGTACACGAAAATGAGTTATTCTAAATTAACTCGATTTTCCGAAGAAACGTCTTAAATCTGATTTCCTTGGGGGGAGGAGTCTAAGTGAAGATTACAATGGAGTTGCTTTTGCTGCTCCCAGTCGGTTCACAAGTGGAGCCACATCTTTGCGTCACTACGCTTATTCTGAGTCTCCAGTGCATGCTTTGTTGAATACATAGTGGAGAATCGTCTATGATAAAGCGAGGATCAAAGAAAGGAAAATTGCCTAGTTGGAAAAAGTGGACTCCAGATGTTCTGACGAGCACGACAATATTCAAGTCCGAAAATTGACCTCGACGGATTACAGTGCGTTTCAAAAGGTATGTCAAGCCTGAATTCGCGTTGAAAGGCAACCATGTGGTCTCGTGCTATGAAATCCTTCTCAATCGATTTCTCGTAGTCGATAACCTATCAATGGAAGCAAAGCAGATAATATCGCCTCACTTTCGAAAAAAAATTTTGGATGAAATTTTTTTCTTTGTTTCAAAAGTATGTGCACACTTAACAAAAGACAAAAACATAGCTGAGATTAGAAATCAGTGGGGCCTCCAGAGTTTCTAATTAGCTCAAACATCCTGTCCGGCATAATCTGAACCACTTGAATACTGTATCGCGTGCGGCCTATAGCCATCTACGCGCCTTAGTCATCCGCGGTATTATACTGCCGGTTGCTAAAGTTAACGCCTTGATCAAGGGCTCCCTATAGGGTTGCCTTAAGGAGGGGACACACAAGCCAATCTATTGCTTCAGCACCATTTGGTTAAGGCCATTCTTTGGTAGATTGCGATGCATCGAAAGACACGTGGTCCTGTTGCCAAAAATGCAATTTTCGCTCCGCTTCGCTAAGAAAGGTCAACAGGCGACATTGGAGCACTGCTTGGTATTCTTTACAGTTCATACGCAATAATGGAACGGCAACTTCTGAATTTCCTCTGATTGCGAAACCGCCGCAGACCCATCAACGGGCCTCTTCCGAAATTCCTTCTCGAGAGCAGAAGCGACTCTCGGCCAAGCCTCTCCAGTAGTAGCAAAATCCACCCGGCCCGTCAAGATCGAACTCTTTCCATGAGTTAAGATTACCTGAGAGAGAAAGTTCATTAAAAGTTTGCTTGTTTTGAAAATAGGAAATTCTCGACAGAACATGCCTT